GAAGGAAGGAAGGAAGGAAGGAAGGAAGGAAGGAAGGAAGGAAGGAAGGAAGGAAGACGTACAACTCAGACAAATTTGGGCCTTCTCCTTCCCGATCTTTGGAATAGGGAAAACAGAGTACCATTTCTCATGGGAAACCAACAGAATAAAGTTCCACTAAGACATCTCAAAATTAAGAAATTAAGCTCAATCATATGCTATTTGTGTTATTTGTTTCTCAGGGAGAACAATGTTGACATATTATATTGGTTCAAATGTAATGCTAAACCATAAATTGGGGTTTTAAAATCATATAGTTGGCTTTTCTTATTGAATTAAACCATGAAGTGATTTCTGTAATATTTGTGGAGAAGGCAGTTCAAATAATAAATTCTGTCAAATGGAAGACTTGACTCTTCTCTGTAAATCAGAGCATGCAGTAATCATATTACTAACTAAAGTTGCCATCATGCCCAATGTCTTTTTCTTCTGCATTAGATGCCTGTTGAAAGGATAAGAAAACATCCACAGGGCAAGTGAGACCTATAATTTTCACACTAATAAAGTGTTTTACAAATGTCAAGTCTGTTTTCACTGTAGAGGTGCACAGTCAGCTGTGTTTTCCATTCTTCTGTAGTGCAGGATTTTCTTGAGAGCTGTCTTTTCATCAAACAAGTATTGTTCTTGTCTCTAAATTACTAAAAACAACAACAAAATCCTTGTAAAGTTTCCCCTAAAGGTCCATTGGTCAGCTTTAATGTTCCCATTATTCTATTCACTGTAGCCACTGCCCCCCAAGTTCCCATTTAATGGTCTTAATGCTTTGCTAACTTTGTTTGTAATATTCTATCCCTGTCTATAGGAACACTTATTGTGATCAATGCAATATGTTGCTAATTAATGTTTGGTTTAGGCATTAATTAGTTCTTTTATTGCCTTTTCTTCTTTGTGTTTTTGTGTGGAGTTGTTGTTTTCTTGCCTTTTCAAAGAAGCTCTTGCTTTTGCCTATGAGACCTTTTCCTCCTACACAGGGCATGGATGGTTGATTACTTTGCTTCTCATGATAGCTTTCAAGGTGTCTTATAACAGTTTTCCTTGAGTTCCCTTTGGTGTCATTCATTTGATAAACATTTTTAATCTCATCCACCAATGTCTCGCAAATCACCAGGGCTTTAAGGAGTCTGTTATTAACTTTCTGGAGGTTCCAGAATATTCTTCCCTTGTGCAAAAGGAAAGCTGTTAACTTCTGATCAGAAATGAAAATAAACTTACTTGTAGACTAAGAACTTTTCTACCTCATCAATCAGAGCATGCCCTTAACCACATTTTATCCTGTGGAGGACGTGCTGCAATCCCCTGATCCAGCAATAAGTGTGTGTGTGACTTCTCCTATGCACAGAGTAATGGCAGGAAGGTGAAGAGGCTATGGCTGAGGTGAGCTATGTAGCTGGTATTTTCTCAATTCTCTAAAATATGAAGTGGCTACATTGGCAATGATATGCAGTGATACTGAGTGGGTGCATGCAATGTGTGTGCACATTTACTTTCGAATCTTGAGCACCTGGAAACAGAGTGCCTTAAAGGCCTGAAGTACATCTGATCCACAGACTATTTAGAGTCTTCCACAGTTGAGAAAATGTAGAAGGAGCAGAGATTTTCACATTATTTCAGAACTGCATATAGAAATACTATACCAAAAAGCTACTTCTGCAGATGTGCATTCTCTCCTTTGAGGCATTTGTACCTGGCTCATAATGTTCATTTTTTCCACTTTTATAGCCTCATTTATTTTTATCATAGCTGATGAGTACATTTAGGACCATCCAAAAACTTACTTAAGTTTGTATCTTCTATAGAAGGAATACTTTTAAATGGAGGCTATCCAAAAAGAAACAAAAACAAAATCCAAAATGGCATCAAAAGTTTGGGAACAGTGATTATGTGCCATCAAGTCAGAATTGATTCTTAGCAACCACAAAGATCGATTTTCTCCATGACAATCTGTTCCTAACTTGGTCCTTCAGGTCTTCCTATGGTGTACCCATTGCCACTGACGTCTTAGTCTGGGTCACAATTGGACCTTTAAGGACATTGTGCTGCTATTTCCTCCTCCATCCCACAATGGATTCTTGGGATTACAATACTGTAACTCCAGAACAATATTGTTTGAACATTCCTTTGTAAAATTAAACAAATGAGGCAAAGAGATTGCATAATAAAAACCTCATCTGGAAGGCCACTTAGACTGTCATGGTTTAGAAGTTGAGAAAGAGGGGAGTAGTGCCAATCTTTTTTTTAAAAAGCTTTCCAAGCCAAATTATTTTGAAATTATTGCAATGCTGTGCTTCCTATAACCAATGGCATGTTATAAGAACGCTTTTTACAGGTGTTGGCAGTATGAAATGAGTGATAAAGCCAAATGTGGAAAGAAGTCCCATCAGAGCTCAGAAGAGTGGGACTCTCAAATACCTCTTTCAAGAATATGCTTTCATTTTTGGTAATTTGCCATATTAACGACTTGGAAAAAGAGTTGTTTTAAGTTATGCAGAGCTTTCACAAATTTATTTTGTAGAATGCACATGTTTAATTTAAACATAAAAGCTAGGGGCAGTATTTTTTCCCCTGTTAACCACAGAAAGCAAATGAAGATATTGCTGCCAACAAAACATTGAGGAATGTCTTGCCAGCCACAAATATTCTTCCTCCCACTCCTTGTTCATTTCTTTATTCCAAACCATACTCTTTTCTTTAATTCATAGTCTCTTCAGTGATTTTCTCTAGCTCTTTCATGTAGCAAATGTGAGTTTGGGTAGTGATTGCTTTAATAATTGCTTTGGAACTCTCTGATATCCTACTCTGCTTCCTTTGGGGAGCATAGGCACCCTCTGAATAAAATCCCATTACAAGAAAATGCATCTTCATATAACCATCCTTTAGAGGAGTAAGTAACTAATAAGCTCAACCTTCTTCATTTCTGCAGCACCACCACAATCCAAGATGAGGTTCCGTTGCCAAGGGATGAACCGTTCACTTTGCTTTGACATGCCCCAGTCCTACACCCATTTCTCTTTGCAGCAAAACAGGCTCCTTCAGAACCAAGCCCAATATATATATATATGAGACTTGCTGAGGTAGCAGAACAATGACAGTTTTAGCTTTGTAATTTCCTGTTGTGTCCTTGTTTCATTTTACAACCCTGCCTCTCCTTCCTTTGATGTGTATGATTATTTTAATATGGCATAAACTTATCTTGCTGTCAGATCTTTGGTAAAGCGTGTGCTGCTTTCAAATAACACTGTGGATAAATGTTTCTAAAGGATGCGTTCTTTGTACTGTGAATGTAGCTTAGCGGTTCAAGACCACCGATTCAAAGTGGTGGCATCGTTATGTCTGAAGTCATTCTTGGCAGGAGCTCTTTTAAACAAACAGTCTAGCGTAGGTAAAAATTTAGCAGCTACATTGCAGAAGAGGCCAGATGAGGCAACGAAGGGAGGTAACCAAGAACATGGCATGTAAAACTAAAATAGAAGATGTTCTGGCTCACATCCCAAAACCACAGACTTGAAGCCATGCTGGGAAATGACAAAAGAAAAAACGGAGCTTTTAGATATAAATAGGAGATATTGCTATGGAATCCAGTGAGTTCCTTATTTCAGGCCAAAAGAGAAAGCCTTGCCAGACATACTTGATACTAACATAACTGAGGGGTCACTTTATAAAAATAAGGTCCCGTATTTCTACATTTCACCCCCACAGTGACTAGTCTTATATCCATCTGCCATTTTAATTAACAGAGACACCTCCCAGTTCTTACAACTTTCCTGGGCAGATGAGTGCCATGCCTAGGTCAGCCTTCTGTGCTGGGCATTGCCTTAATGAATCAAGGATAAAGAATCACTCCCATTCCCACTGTTCTTCACCACTGGCCACAATGGCAGCGTTTGCTGAAAACTACAGTGCAGCTATATCTGGAGTGCCTCAAGTTCCTCACATTCTTGGCAGTTCTGCTTGTTCACAAAAATTTCTAGAAATTCTAGGACTGGAGGGTTAGATGAATTGCATGACAATGATAATGCCAAACACAGTGCTTTAGACTGCCATTTCACTGATTGTGGTAGCTGGGGTAACTTGGAACAAGGAGATCTGATTACTAAGCCATTGCATGGTTCCAAACTATATTTAACCAAAAGAACAAATATTGGTTTGCCTTTTAAATCCTTAGAGGATGGACTATATGAGAAGAAACAAACAGATTGAATCATACGTTTAGCAATAAATCATATTCTCACTTCCAAATTTGGGATGGGAGTCAAGGCAAAAGAGACAATCTATTTCCCAACCATAACCTTCTGCATATATTCACACTTAGAATTACCTGCAACTGTATACATCCCCTCACCCCCTAAGTACTCATTATAATGTGCATCTCCTGTGTGAGGCAAGACCTTCACCACAACTTTGGGAGAAATGGACAGTCTGAAAGATAACTGGGTTCCATTCCACAACTTACCTGGGAAGTGGGAATTAGATCAGTCCATTGGGCTGAAATAAATTCTTCAGCATCCTTAGGCTCCAGGTGCAGGACACGTAGAAATCTCTTCCTGTGCCTGGATCCCAGCTGACTACCTAGAAACAGCTTGTGTTAGTAGCAGTGAAGGGTGCACAACATTTTAATTTCCCATATTAATCTAAATCAATGCTTTATCAGGACTTTGTGAAAAATGTAAAGAGCAGCTAGAATGCTTGGAGTGCTGGCCAGGGCAGGAATCAGTGGTGAAACCTGCAGAGGTGCTGGGGCCTTGGCAGTTACTGAATTATGCCTGGTTGTGGTTCTGTGGGCAGAGGTTGATGCCAGGGGAAGACTCTGCTCCAAACATGCCTTACACTCAAGTATAACCAAAGGAACAAAGAGTATCTGGTGGGAATAATGCTGGAGAGTCCAGTTTCATGTTGGTGATTGCTGATATTAAAGGAGGGTGATAGGCTAAGAATTAGGGTACTGGCTGAGCATGGCAGAGGCAATACTGAAGAGAGGAGTAAAGATAGGCTGAGAGTAGCAGCAGACATATTATTGAGAGGTATCTTGAATTTGAGGCATACAGATCTGCTCATTTCAAATCTGTTTTGGCATAGGATTCTGTGGTACAGATTTGCACCAATATGCCATACTGGAACATAATATCTTGGATTTGTTTACTGTCATACAGAGCAGAGTAGACAGGATTTTTTTTTTCCATGACAGCAAGGTTTGTGCAAAATCTTAGTAGAGCATTTTAGCTGAAGTAAGTGGAACCAAAGAGTAATAGAGATTTTGAAAAGATGCTGGCTGTGACTTATTTTGGCACTCAAGTTCCTTTTTCAAAGTTACTCATAATCTACCTCACATGTAACCTGCATCTGTATAACCATCCTTTCCACCCCCCTTCCCTCATCCCTACTTAAACCCTACATCAGTCTGGCCACTCCATGCATCTGATAAAGTAAGCTACAGTTCACAAAAGCTTATGCATTTGAAATATCCTCCCAGACTCCTCCTGGTCTTTGGCCATCATAGCTCTCCTCCTATAGCGGAAATGCATTGTGTATCTGCACCTACATCTCTAGAACTATCATTCAGGATGTGTCTGTATATCAGAAACAGTGTGTGTAACTTTGATGAAGAATTCAAGTAGTAAGCAATTAATAATAGAAAATTTGTTTTTACAGTTTGGAAGTAGGAATGAAGCAATGGTTCTTCTTCATGTTCTGCTCAGTAGGCAGAATTATTTCTACCGGAAATTATGTTATCATTTAATAACAGGAAAAACTGCAACTTAATTAAAAAGAGACATGGATATGGATAGGTTTATAATTTGAGCTCTGTGGAAATAACCAATCTCTCCATATTTAAACAAAATATAGAGATACTTAATTCCTTTTCTCACTTCCCGCTTCGCATTTACCTCTTCCTGTTTTTAAGTTATGGATTCTTCATGCACTCATTTTTAAAACTGCTTTCAGCTGGAAGTGCAAATGAAAAATCAAATCCAACCTAAGAATAGGAAAACTTTTATAAAACACAAACAGATTCAATCTAGGATTCTAAATTGATCCTGCAACAGACTGGGACTCAGGGCCTTAGCAATCATCAATGATCATTATCACTGCAGTACCTGCAGTTTCTGAAAACGACTGACCATAAAAACAATTAACCTTCTGAGTAATGGGTGATGTCATCAGGGAGGGAAAGGTTTGTTGGGAGTTATTTGTAATAAAGGACATAGATCTGTCTATCTCATTCATAAAAGGTGTCAAAGGTGGCTACAACCAGATAAAGCAAGTTACACTAGATCTCAGTAGTTCTTAAAATCCCCCAATGTTCAGAAAAAGGTAGGAAGAACATAATACAGTGGGTGCAGTCAGAAGCCAAGAGAAATAATAGTGGGGAGGCACTGTACAGAGTAGAATTTTAGTAGATCCTAATCCTAATAATCATCATATACTTTCTCATCCCAGTCCCACCTGATCTTTCTGCCAGGGTGGTAAAAAAAGAAAAATATCCGTTAACAATAACCAGATTGAATCAAATAAGCCAAACCCAATCCTAGCTTGATAAAACCATCAAAGACAGAAAATATAATTGCCCCCAAATGAATCAAGGGTAAACTATAAATTTTGATGCCTGCTCCTAAAGAACAATTGCAAAACTCAGAGCACTTCATTGGCCAATTAGGTAGGTAGATGACCTGAAGGGCTGTGCTTAATGCTGGGCAAAGTAATTCTCTTGCATTTTTCCATACAGTTCTCATGCAGTTTGATTAAAGGAAATTTACTTTTAGGAATTGGTTCAGGGGGGTGTAGCACTTGGTTATAAGGTGGTCAAAAGTGATGAGAAAGTCCTATCTTTCATTGTTTGATTGTCTCCTGAACAGTCTGCGGGCCCTGCTTGGCTTCCCTTGCTTTTTTTCACTTCTGAAGGGAAAACATTATGCAGGAGCTCCTTTTCTTGGGGTTTTTCAATAATAATGTAATAATCAGTACTAAGGGGGAATCCTGCTTGTTTGATTATTTTCTCCAAGCTTCAGTGATTACTGTTATATGAAATTACCTCTACTGTGGTCATTGTATGGTTGAGATTGTATCCTACCAAGAGTCTCTCAGTTGCAGTGGGTTAAAAAAATGACTAGATAGCAAGAAATAATTGTTTCAGGAGTTTTCCTTTTCTTGGAGAAATACAGAGAAATCATCCACCCAATTTTGATGCCTGCCAATTTGGGGAAAAACTTGAAAGGGTCATTTTTGCCTTGTTCTAACTATGACCAGTGCTCCCTCTGGCCAATAATACAGGTAGAAACTCAGCCATTTTAAGAAAATCTTGAAAGACTGTCCCAAACCTTCACTGTCCCATTTTAAGAACAACAAGGTCAAGTCTGTTTGTCATGCTTTCTACTTTCCCAGGGCCGAGTATCATTTCCTGTCTCCCATCTTCTTTTCAGGACCAGAGCTAAATTCCTCTACAGCTATGAAGATAAATGCTGTAATAAAGATTGATTTTAATAAATGTGCCTAGGGTTTACAAGGTGGTTAATGTGGCCCTCATGGCAGACCTAAGATGGCAGAAGGCAAAGTATTAACAAATGAATGTTACTGCCCATCAAACCACTATGACCTGTCCATTGTCATGTTCTCTGTGGGAGCTGATAATGGGGTGGCCATTTGTACATCAGAAAATGCCTCACCGAAAAGAAGATCCACAGATTTACATACAGACTGCTAGAGTCTCTGGAAGTTTTGTGGTACATAAATATTGTTAATAAATAAATAAATACAGTAAATATTGCATGCTTGGAAATAAATATTGTAGTTTAAATAGAAATACCAAATTTACCCCATTGTAGTGGGGAAAATTCCAATAAGGCAGTCTACGTGTTTCTTCAGTTTGCAGTCTGCACAGTAATGGGCTACTATTCCTTCTTTGGATAATTCCATATATTTAAAACAGATTTGTTCTGGGACAATCCTTCAGACAAGAGACCCTCCTTTGTAAAGTAAAGTAAAATTTTGAAGTAAAACTCTTCCTTCGTAAAGTTTTGAAGTAAAACTTTTGAAATGATCAGACTTGAAAATGGCTGTCATTTCTGGATAGTTTTTCTGCTGAGTTTTTCTTCATAGCACAAACTTGTACATATGCAAATGCCAAGTGCCAGACTTTGACAGTGCCACTCCTTGATCTTGTAGTTGGCATTAAAAATCGGTTGTGCTTTTTGTTCAAATAGCTGCTGTGAAAGGGAACAGAGGGCAGTCAGCGGGAGAATTATCTTTATGGTTACAACATCCTTCTTTTTTTCTTTCCTTACAGAACTTTTTTTTTTAATATGTTGATTACTAGTGAATTTCCTAATGATGAGTCCTTGAGTCATACCCTGCTGTGAAATTGCTAAGTATTTAAAAAGCTTTTACTGGGTCCACCTCATTGTGAGTCAAGGAACTCAAACAACTTTAACTCACTCCACAGCTGTCAGGAATCCTTCAGTCTTTGTTTCTTTCCCCAAAAGCACATAGCTGTGATTTATGTCTGTGAAAATAATCACCTCCAATTGCTTAATTCCCTGAGCTTTTGGAAATGATTAAGCTGAAACATTATTGAATTCCTTGGAAATCTTACAGGGTTTCTTCCTATCTTGTGTAAGTTTTAGCTTAAATCAGTCAGTAATCATTTTATAAAGTCTTTGGACTCAAAGCAAGGCTGAAAAAGAAAAAAAAAAAAGGACAACATTTTCTGAAACTTCTCCTAAAAGAAACAGATACTGAAGATCCAATCTCATAGTTTAACTTGAACCAGGCTCACAAGAGCAACTTATAAAGCTATATGTATTACAGCTTTTAAACACCTGGAGGCAGTAGAAGAAAAATATAAATGTAATATAGATCTTAAGTATATGTGTGTCTGACTATGATATCTAACCCTACCAACAGGCAAAATGAGACTTCTGCCTCAGGCCGCAGACCTGGAGGGACATGAATTGACATGGTGCTGCTAGTAGACTATTGGAATAACAGCTGGAAGATCTTAAATATCTACCTGGTTATGAAGCAAATTTAAATGTTTTTTAGCTTTATCTACTTCTAGGGGTAATACTAGAAGACTCGAGGAACAGGGAAGACCCACCACTTGAACTCGAAGAATACTTTGTTACTTCTCCCACTGCTGCCACCTAGTGATGGCCTCTAACCATACACTCCATCTGCACATACGTCCCTGACTAGCAACAACAGCAAAAAATCACCCTCCGGCATGGGGTCTGCCTTACAACACACTGTGAGGTAGCCACGGCCAGCTTACATTGCTCTTAGGGTGGCTGGAGTAGTAGCAAATGGGTTCTGAAGGCTGTGTGTTTTTGGATATACTAAGAGGAGTTTGGGAGGATAACATATGACTCCTGTCCTCACTTCATTATCTATCCCAGTCCATTACTCAGAACTATTTCATTTCACCAAATGATAAGGCCAGCACTGTGTACTTCATGAGGTTGCTTTGAGGATCAGTTGGGGTTAAGGTGGTAGCTATATGAGTATCTGGTGGGACAAAAATGTATTAAGTAAATATTGTTCCAATCATGTGTTTGTCTCTAAAGCTCCACTGGACT